CTGGAATCGACTAAGCTCCTAACAACTGTATTACTTATTATATGTTGGTCCTGTGCCTGTTGACACAATTAATTGTGTGACAATCAGAATGCAACAAGAATAATAGCCAGACCACAGTTTTGGATCAGAATTCTATAGGATTATTGATTTTAGGAGTGTGATGCTCATCCTGCTAAGAGTAATTTGTATGCCACTTAAATTTCTTTTTCTGAATGGAAGTTCTTTCTCTTCATGGGGCGATGTTCTCAATAATATGTTAATGAGGAATGCTTCTTTCGTTTTAAGTGAAATGCTAATAAAAAAATTCTAAGCTCATATATTCGGACCTATAACAGAATTTCTTTATCACTGGGATATTGATTGACATCGTTTATGTGCAGGAACTTGATGATCTCAACCAAATGATTGACACATATTGTGGTCTAATTTGGTGATTTGTTCAATTTTGTTTTTGATGGGAAGCCATGCGATGCCCTTGCTGGAAGCAATTTACACGCTGAGATGGTCTAGGGCTAAGGTAATGAATACCTCGAAGCATAATTGGTTTTTCCTAGCAATCATGTCTTTCTTTTTCCTTTGCTCTCTCTTTATTATTATTACTAGTTTCAGGCCCGTGCGATGCATGGATTTGTTTAATGTACAAAAATTGATGTAGCAAAAGAATGCAAAATAAAACATTAATAATATATAAGTAGTCAGAAATGATACAACCTAAACTGCATATATGTTTGACTTAATATTAAAATGTAAAAAAGAATGAAAATATAATTTCCCTATTCTCATAACAAAATTGCTTAAAATGCCTCATGTCTATATGATTAATGTTATAATATTTTGCTATACCAAGTAATTAGTATGCAGCATAAAGTTTAGTTCCAAACAAAATATTTAAAGCACATAGAGATACCTGTCAAATATATATATATCTACGAATCAAAATAATAATTATCAATATATTGATAAACAAAATATCCATCATATCATATCAAGTAGGTATGTTTCTCAACGCAAAACCACCAAAAAAATATGTAGTGCATACAAAAGTTTACTAAATAAGGTTTTATACCAGAATACTAAATATAAGTTTCAGACATCATGAATCAGATGGAGTTTTTTCAAAAAGGAGCTTGAACTCTCTGTAAAATATTCTAATTCTCTTTTTTAATTTTGATCTGTTTTTGCTTTTTGTTACTTGACATCAGATTCTAACAAATTTCTCTTGCAAGGTGTAATGTTATCCAAGGAACAAATTTCAACTTCATTGTCACAAGTGACCGATAGCGAGATCTGTGTTTTAGTATAACATAAAAGTTAGCATGTTAATGAGGTGGCATGAAAAGATTGTTGTACAATTAATGTGAAGAATCAAGAAATCAATAGTAAGGCGAAAAAAATAAGCAATCCAGAAGTTTTTGATGCAAAGTGTCAAAAGTTAATTAGAAGCTTCACGGGATTGATAATGGGTCATTGACAAATAGAACATAAGCCAGAAATAATGTTAACTAAACTTCAAGCTTTCATTTGTTTTGAAAACTTCTAAAATTCAAATGGTAAAAAACCCTTGTATTATTAAAAGTCATTCTACTCATATGTTAGATAAGAATCTGACAATATATAATGCATTCTTTTAAAAAATCTAACATTAAAAACATATTCTACACATTATGGGAGAATAAAAGCATGTTTATTTTATCTATTTAGTTAGCATACTAATAAAATATAAAGAAAAGTTTTTTGCACTGTTAATGTGAAGAATCAAGAGAGCAATAGTAAAACAAAGTGGTAAAGGTGAAAGAAGCAACAACATCAAAAGAGTATTTAAAAATAAGTATTGTGAAATATACAGCAAAAGAGAATTTGAGAGTTTTGACTTGTCCGGTTGTCACCTTAATTATGAAGAGGTGTTGAGGTATTAGTATAAGTATTAGTTTTGATCATAGTTGAGTCTGGATGAATGTTGTACATATAATGCTTTTGGGATTACATGAATACTTACCTTTCATTTCACAAAAAAAAAAAATACAAACATGAGGAATGAAAAAGAAAAGTAATACCAAGTGTATTGACTTACATTATCAAGATCAACTTTCTTTTTGGAAGATTCAGCTTCATCAGTGAAATATTTTTTACCTGTCGACTCCTAATGATTTAGAAAGGAAAAATATTACTAATATATTGCTCAACCTCATCTATATATGCAGATTGATACATGAAATGAATAGAAATGTAGCTCTATAAAAGAAGAAAATATGTAATGTACCTGGTTCTAATCTAAGCTGTCTCTGAAAGCTGCTATCAGATTTTCATCGTCAATCATTTTAGAGACAGAAAATACATGCCAATTTTGATTGGGATTGAATTCTGAAACTTGAATCTTGAACAAAAATTTCTTTTTCACCAACACATCTAACTCTTGAAGAAATGAATCATCATCACATTCCTGTGAACAATATAAATAAGCAAAGTAAAGCTATTGAATTAAAGCTTTTAATTTTTACAGAAAGGAATTAGAGTGATTACTTTTGTCAGTCGTTCCCTCAATTCGACTGCAGATTTGTGAATAACTTGTTTAGCTTCACGATCAAACAATACAAATGATGTAGTATATATATGGTCAATGACTAAAACCTGAACTCTGTACCTGATGAAACTCATAAATTAAAATAAACCTATAAGAACTGTGAACTAAAGTGTACGTTGAAGATCCAGACATTCATTAATGAAGAATATGATAAAATATAACTTGTGAAGAAACTGACATACATACTTCAACACATACATTGGGATAACAAATCTTGTATTTTTATTGCACTTTTCACACCAAAATTTACCATTTTCAGCATTTACCTTCCTTTGATATTTTTTGCAGGCATAGTAAAACCAATTATAATCTGTTTGAATTTTCTCTATAGTTGCTAATGTCACACATGTGCAAACCTGAGTATTATTAAATAGTAAGAAAATAAAGTTATAAATAATTTGGTAGAAAATTATCAATTGTGTTAAGATTAGTTATCTAGTTTGCCACTAATTCCATATTTTAAATAATCAGTGCAATATCAATAAAGTCACTTCTTAAAAAAAAATTACCTCTCGTGCCTCTCGAATTTCATCAAGTGTCTTTCGTTCAGTTAATAACAAAAAATCATCCTCGATGGAATAAGCTTTTTCAGTTGGAATCTGACTAAATCGTTGAGACGAAGAATCTTCCACAAGTTTCAGACTTATGATAGTAAAAGTAAATTAATTAGAAATAATACCAAATTACTTATAAATAACTAATGAATGAGATAATTCACCATGTACCTTTTTTTAGATCAACAACTTCAGGTATGTCAGGATTGATTAATATCTTGGACGTATATAAGGCATTTGTAATAGTAATTTTACCTAAGAAGTAAAGTTTTTAAATTCATGATTCTGTCAATGATTCTGTCAATATATAAGCATAATCCACGAAATAAAAATATATCTTTTTTGATAAATTAGTATAATTCCAATAAAGATTTACCTCCATATGGTTTTGTCTTTGCAAGCTGAATCACCATTATAATAATTCCTTAATTAGCTTTCTGTACATACTGCGAAACTTGAACATCGTAATCACCCCATAAACTGCATTGCAATTTAATGTTGCTGCAAGCAGATAAAAATTTAGTACGGAATGCATATACACAAACTCACATGCACACACATACTTTTACTATAAAAAATATGTAACTATATTGTATATATTTGAACTCACTTGCTATCTTGGAGTTCAAGCTCCAATAATTTTCTTTTACTTCCATTGCTCTCAACTTCTTTTACATTTCCATCTGAAAAATATCATATAATATAAAGAATTGAATAAAAAGCCCATAAGTCTCAACTATATTAAAAAATAGTATTGAAATTAAAAAAACAATAAGCAAAACTATAAATTTATTTTAAAATAGTCGACTTTTTATCTTACAGTTGAGGTGATACGATTAGCAATTATATCCTCAAAATCAACTAATCCCAATGAATAGGAAGTTATTGTAGAACTCTCACATTCTTTAACTAATATAGAGTAGAGGAAGTTAATTCTATATGCGTGATCAGTAGCTCTATAATTTTCAGTATTTTCCCCAACACCAAAATTCATAATCAGATAGTAGCCGCCTTCATTCAATTGTGATTTGAATTTATCTATCAATTTGGTCTTGATCGTTGCTTGAATTTTTGCTCCCTTTCATAAAAAAAGAGAATATCATGAATGTATAATCTTGAATTATTCACATTAAAAGAAAATGATAACTGAACTGATAAACAGATTATGAAAGAGCGAAAAACATTACATTTTCATCCAGTAAAAGCAGCTCAATAGTGTTGATCACATTCGGAATATTGAATTTCATCACATTCCATAACCTAATGACTCTTACCACCACTTTCCAAGTTTCTTTGTTTGGGTTGATTTCAGAAATAAAATCCAGTTTTGGTACCATATTCAATCTGTTTATCAATATAAATACATGTATAATGACAAATTTGGTAATTTAAATGATAATGCAAATTATCTAATAATAGTACCATAGGAATAAAATATTGCGAGGATTCCGCATAAAAAAGAAGCAACATATAAAAGAACTATAAAACAAAATTAGATCTGAATATTAATCATGCAATCATCAATAGAACAGAATATATTAAACTAAATATCATGAAATAACTACAATGCAATGCAATAACTAAGGTAGATCCCAAATGTCAAGTTTTTTTTTAGAATTGGCTATCCTACATTCTGAAATATTTCTTTAAAGACCACATTTTTCGTGTTGTTTGCAACCTGACCATCCTTTTCATTGACCAAAATTCTCAAACCCTTCTTACTTCTAACTCTAGAGATGACCACATAAAATTGGCCATGACTGAACACAGACCTTGGAAGGTATAGTCCAACATTAGAAAGTGACTGACCCTGATTTTTATTTATTGTCATAGCAAAAGAAATTGTTAAAGTATATTGTCTTCTTTGCAGCTTGAAAGACCATCTTGAATCTAATGGAGTCATCACCATTCGTGGAATGAAAACTTTCATCCTAATATTGTTGCCTGATATAATTTTTGCTTCAATGACATGATTGCCCAACTGAGTGATAATTAGCCTTGTCCCATTGCATAAACCAGATGATTGATTTATGTTCCTCAATAACATTACAGGAACTCCAACCTTAAATTTTAGTTTGTGGTTAGGTATCCCAGAGCACCGAATACTGTTAAGGAAATCTGGAGTATGTAAATTTTATTCGCAATCAATATACCCATCAACGTTACAAACACTATCAGAACTCAAATACACCCTTTCTTCTCCGGGAATTAATGAAAGGTCGTAGTCATTAACCATTTCAACTATTTCAAGTTTCGAAGCGAGGATGGCTCTATTTTGAAGGTAATTCACTTCAAACATATTATATAATAGATTCGGATATGTGCTTTCAACAATACCAGCAAGAGGATTAGTGAAATCTTTGATGAGTAGATCATTTGGTA